AGTGTGTAAAATGTTATCGTTTAGGCATTTCCATTTCTTCGTAAAATTTCGATTATCATATCCTATTGCAGATGCACCATTTGGCAATCATTTGATAAAAGTCGTGTTATTCCAGAATTATCTATATCCTCAACCACATTACACTTTCGCTCTGGCATTTATCTATGTAGTGTTGTGAACATATGCCACGTCGAGCTTATGAGTAATGTAAAGTTGTTTTAGTCCATTTTGTTTTAGATCTAGTGGTAATTTATTATGCTTTACCAACGGTCGACGAAATCATATCGTAAATGAGCGGAAGAAAGCTTTTGAAACGTAAACTACAGTAGAGAGAACTATTCATAGGCACAAATTAGGCATTTTTATACTGATTTACGTATTAAAATTTTCCGGAAAATATCAAATCAATATTTAATAAAAACTTCCTACCGATTTGCAGTGTTTTGCAATATATATATATATATATATCAAATGGCAGCCGTTTTGATAGTTATCATTAGCCCTTTAGCTGACTTCAGGCTTCACAGGGGGAAGGAACATCAAAGTAACAGAAAGTCGAGGGGGGGGGGCAGAAGAGTGTTTTACAGATGTAAAGAGACAGACATGAAGGCAGAGAAAAGGTAAGATGAGTACTGCCCCGGAAGTGATTCGCCATTTGCCGTATGAGTATACCTTGCCCAGGGTGCACCACGTGGAGTTAAGTCTATCACGCACCACTGTTTTGCTATATAATTGGTCAGATAACTAATCAAAAGGTAACACAAATAATCAATCAACGCATAAAGAACCTGATTCTCTCAAATAATAAAGAATAAAAAATATAATATTCAGACAAATTTTCTGAGTTTCCAAATATATTCATAAATAATAATTAACACATTAAGATTGGAGGTTTAAGAATCATGTAATAAAAGTTTAATTCAGTTATTAATACGTCATTTTTAGATTCATTTCTTTATTTCACTAATTTTTTCAAACTACTGCAAATTTACCTTTCCAGCTATATTTAAATCTTCCATCTCTCATGCTATTTTTTGAATTCAGATGTGTAAATGCTAACATGAGACATCTTAAGATCAAAACAAATTCTCCATGCTGATAGTGCAAGGAAAGTAACTTTACCATTGTTGTTAGGCAGTTGTTAATATTTATCACACTTGCTGTCTTGGGATAATAGAATAATTTTCAAAAAATCTGTGATTATAGGTGGGGAGATGGTTTTGGATATAAATGATTATTTTTAAGTTTTAAGAGCGCAACTTTAAACTAGAATAGAGCTTTAAATAATTACATTAAGGGCGAAAATTCTTCACTGTATTATTTTCAAAATGGTGTAAGCTCTTATTTGCTACCTATTCGATATTTGAAAATTTAAGAAAATTAAATCATGTAAATATTTTACACCTTATTTTTCTAAAACTTTCAATAATTGATTAAGTATATTCAATAATGCTAACTAATTGTTTTAACCAACACCCTGTCTTGCCAATCTTACTGCTCGTACGTTGGGTGAGGATGCCTCCTGTTTACTACTTAAAACCTGAAACTGTTTATCATAAAGCACGAGGTAAGCTTTATTATGATACGAAATAAGCTATTCTATAATTATGTCCTCAATGTTTTAATGGGTAGGGGGCACTTTATCTCACCCCTTTTAATATAATTCGTATATTAAATTTGTGTTAAATCACGTTTAATCTTTTTTTACTATTAAGACTTGATTGATGTGGGCAAGAAGAGTAGCGCCTTCGATAGCCTCTACGATATGCTCAGCAATCGCCGAGCTCGTAGCTGGCAAAAATCGCTTGAGGAACCCATGTTTCTTTTCGTGGAACTCTGTGTGGAACTAAGGAGAAACCTTAAATTCAAGCGAATGATTCACCACTACAGGAACATTTCCATTCAAGAGTCTCCACAATCTTTGGATGATGTTCTTAAGCGCTACTTTAGTCTTATTCACGAGAGAACCAAAGAAGCGCGTAATCAATCTGAGGACATTGTTCCCGATGTTGAAGACTTAGATGTGCCAGAAACTCCTGAAAGGTTTTTTTAACTTAAAATTTATCTCCATTTTAGTTTAATGCTGAATGCACTAAGTACCGATAAATCCCAAAGCAGGACAAGTCATAGTATTTTAATGCCTTGGCTAAAGTTTCTTTGGGAAGGTTATCGAATTTGTCTTGATTTGGTGAGAAATAACGCCAAGTTTGAGCATGTTTACCATCGCATTGCTAGAGAAGGTAAGGAAAATTTATTGTCTAACGTCTTTAGCATTTCAATTTTGTGTGGACTATCGAAGAAATACTGAATTTAGAAAGCTCGGTGATATGGTATGTTTTTTTGAAATTCTCTCTTATGTTTCTAGATTCGAATGCATACATCGCGTATTCAAAATGCACCTAATGCTCCTAACGGTATCAATTTGAATAATTCTGATACTCAAATTTTGCATTTTGAGACACGTTTGCGTCAGCTTGATTGTGCGATGCAATTAGAAATGTATAATGTAAGTTAATTATTACTAATTAGATTTCTAAATCGCATTCATTCATTCTTTGTGCGCATTTTTTAGGAAGCTTTCAAAATTGTTGAGGACATTTGCACTATCAATATGCTGGCCAAGAAAATTGACCGTCCGTCTTTGATGGTTGAATATTACACCAAGACGGCCGATCTTTTTTTGCGTTCTCACTATAATCTTTTCCATGCTGCGGCTCTATTCAAGCGTTATAACATCTACCGCGATCACAAGAAGGGTATTTCTGATGAAGAATTGTCTTCACTTGGTTCGTCTGCTCTATGTGCTGCTCTTGCAGTCCCTCTTCCTCACGCTAGAAGCCATTTTTCCACTTTTGCCGGAGAATACAATCAAACAAAACAAAAAGCTCTTGCTGCTCTACTTGGCAAGTTCTAGTTTTTTCTTGTTCTAACACTCCCCTAATAGATCTTTCTACTGTACCCACTAGAGCATCGCTTATCAACGACTTAACCACAAGTCGTGTTCAAAGTATTGTCTCTCCGGAGTTGGTGACGTTGTATGAGGCCCTGGAAGTTGATTTCCAACCTCTCAAGTTGTCACAAAAGATCCAACCTGCACTTCAACGCATAAGTGAAAAGGAAGACCTTGGAGTGTACTTGGAATCTCTTCATGAGGTCGTAGTCTCGAAGACTCTGCTTCAAGTTTCTCAAGTTTACCGGACTTTACATTTCGATGAACTAGTTAGGCTGTGTCCATTCTACGACCCTCTCACTTTGGAGAGATGTGTCGTCGAGTTGATCTATAATCTTGAATTGCCAATGCGTTTTGATCATCGTCGTAATGCAATAATATTCGATGTCTACATTGACCTTGGAATTAGCCAGCGGGATTACTCTATTGGTTCGTTCTCTGGCCAGGTATGTGTTGTATATTTCTTTCAATGTGGCTATTTCAGACCGGTACTGATCAAGTTTCTCGCCAATTGACCATTTTCGCGCAATCATTGTATCAGGTGGCTGAACTCTTTAATTTGAATGAGTCCAGCACTCAAGTTCGTGATAAGATGGTTAAGCATTACTTGCAAACTGCTAAAGAGGAGCATGATAATATGCTCGAACGTATTCGACATATTGAAGATCGTAAAGAACAATTGGAACAGATGCAGAAAGAGAGAATGAGGGTAAGCGCTTCTATCACACCCATTTCCGTTTGTTTCCTTTCCAAATTATTTTTTTTGCTTTAGACAATTGAAGAAGAAGAGGGAAAACTGGAGAACGAGAAGAGAGCTAAGCGTGAACAGGAGGAAGAAACACTGAAAAAGGAGGCTGAGCAAAGAAATAGGCGTACAGCTGAAGAACAGCTGCAAATGCGTAAACAAAAAATGGAGAGGGAACGTTTGAAGACCTTGCTAAACAGTGCCTCAACAAGCAGTTTGTCATCGGCTGTTGTTCCAGAAATTAAAGATGTTGATCTTGAGCAATGCAGTGTGGAGGCAATTGTTGAAAAAATACAGGGTGATATCTGCAAACGTCGCTCTGAGTTGATGGATAAGGCCAATGCTAGGGCTCGCAAGCAGGATCATTTTATTCGAGCCTGCAGGCTTCAGGAAATTCCTCTGTTACAAGAGGCTGCTGTTGTTAGAGCTAAGGAGAGATTTGAACTCCATGAAAAAGCTCAACAGGAGATTATCGAGAATTCTAAGCGTCAACATGAGATAATGTTAAAGAATAAGGACCGTCTCAGTCGTATGAAAAGTGATATTGGCGTAAGTTCATTTGGAATAATCTAAGTTTATTTAATAATATATTTGTTCGTCTAAATTAAAATATGATGGATTGTTGATATATCAGGTTTCTTGATTTTATACGACAATGAAAAGATTTTTGCCCATCCTAATTTTATTTCCAAGCATTTACTGTATTTTTCTTATGCAGTGACCTATCGTGGTAACGTTGAATTGGCATGCCGATTTGGTGCATACGACATTGCACTTTATGATGCCATCTAAAATATAGTGTTATCAAGACCATTTTTGACTAAACTCGTGACTATAATTATTGCATTCGTAAACTTGGACTTATGCTACTGTTACTGTGAGTATTTTATGATAAGTTGGAAATCCACAAGCATTATTTAAGTTTCGATTATACCACCCACATTGAATTTTGCTTCTAAATCTGTGTCCTATTATTTCCAGGAATTGAAGAAGGTTCTAAAGGCAATGGAACAGGCAAAGCACAAAGAACGTTACGCTGAATGGGAGGCGTTGCGAGCTCGTGTTCGCGAAGAACGTTTGGCCGAACGTCGTGCCGCCGAAGAAGAGGCCAAACGCAAGGAACAAGAGCGTCTCAAAGCGGAAGAGCGTGCTCAAATGGAAGCCAAACTTCGTGAAGCTGAGGCAGCCGAGCGTCGCAGAAAGCAGGAAGAGGAAGAGGAGGAAAAACGACGACGTAAGTTTTCGCCAGTTCGAAGTCTCGAATCGTTGTTACCTTCTCGCCTAATAGTCCTTGATTTCTCCGATAAAGGTGAAAAAGAACGAGAACAGGAACAGATAAAACCTGCTCCGCAAAAGCCGACGGGTGGTGGTTGGCAGAGGAGAGCGGTAAATCCCTCTGCAACGGCAACGCCATCAGTTCCTCCGGTCATTTCCAGGAAAACTCAACCTGTTGCTGCTTCATCTTCGTGAGTTACATTGAATTACGGTTTCTATTAGTATTCAAATAAAGACGATCGTAGATTTTAATCCTTTATTGCTCCCATAGCGCATTCTCACAAGAGCAATCCTCGAGAGGTTTCCAGAAGTGAGTTGAATATTCTTAATTTATCGACTTTTTAACCCACTCTCTATCGACTTCGATCAAGAATTTGACAATTTATTTATGCCCTTACAGGCATCAACGGTAAGTTTGAGCAACTGGCTGTATAGGGCATTGATTTGTTATCTTTTCGTGTTTTTATTAGTGTTTGATTTATTCCTTGTACATTCTTCCGTTTGCATAGATCCTTTCGGCGGTAGGTTTTAGTAGTTGGAAATAGAAGTAGTCGTCTAAGTTTCGCTGTCTATTTGTTACATTTTTGTTAATTTGTGGAATTCTTCCTCCTTTAGTCAACCATTCAATCATTCAGCATCTACAGATCAAAGTGGACAAAACTCTCGTAGTACTGGATGGGTTAGAAAAAAGGTCACTATCCCAGATCCTACTCCTTCAAATCAGTAAGTTTATTTGTTTGGTGCATTAGTCTTAATAACTTAAGAATCATTTAAAGAGTGACATCATAGTAGTACTAACGCCACTTATCAAACTGAAAGATTGCAGCAAAGATACGATTGGGACAAATACTTGTGCTACATTTAATTTTCAAGACTTTTGTGCATCGATTAGGTTGCGATTGGTGCACTTTGTCTGGATTGAGCATAGAATATTCCTTTGAGTTAAAGGTCTCTTGCAGAGACATCAGACATTGGTATTCGAAAGCGAAGGTTCGCATTTTCGTATTACCACGATTTATTGGCCAGCTTAAGTTTGACTGATTTGGTAAAGTTTCCATTTTTGGATTCTCCGAAATATGATTAGTAGCTACTTTATTTTGTCTTGCTTCCTAGACAACATATTGAAAAGCCAGCTCCTCCTAAGTCGAAACAGCAAGACGAAGGTATGTTTAGTTATTGAGGAATTTTGAAGAACCCCCTAAAAAATCTCATGGCTATTTTCCTATTTTAGATGATGGTTGGAAGCAACCTGGAAGACGCCATTAGGAAACTCATGTGAGATGGTCACTCTTCTGTCCATCTATTTATCCCACTATGTCCTCTTTCATTATCATTTGAATAAATATTTGGTTCCCACGCGACCTTGGGATCAAAGTAAATGCTTTCAGATTTTACATGGCTGAGTTCGATTGTACGGGTTCGAGGGTTTCCGATTTAGTCTTGTTATTCCCCTGAAGGTGAATTTGAGTTATTTTTAAGCATCTTTCAAGTCCAGTAGTTAAATTTTTAAAATCCCTTAGTCTGAGTAAACAAGAAGCTGACTCATCTAGAATTTACTGGGCCAATGCCTCGTTTGATGAGCACCTCGATCTGGTCTTCACATACTCAAGGGAGTAAAATTGTCGCCGTTTTGTGGGGAGTTATCTAATAGCTCTTATTGGAGTTCCATTAAAGGCGCACTGATTCCACGCTTATTGTCTTGGCTGCAAATGATACTGGTATCGTTGATTGCTAGGATTGAGCGCGAGTTATATTTTCAAAGGTTTATTGTAAAATGGCTGCTCAATTCTAATTAGAGCGTATAGATGAGTTGGCATAAAGTCAAACAGGTAAGTAGAGGTATGAGGGGTCTTGTAAGAGGGCTGCATAGTGGGAGGAGGCAACTGTTAGAAACGGGAGTGCTCTTAAGGGAAAAATTACACTTCGATATATGTGAACAGTGGAAGTATTTGAATGCCGAGTGTTCTTCATGAGTTGAAAGAGTGAAGAGAAGGAAATGTTTAAGTCTTCGCTATGGTTTCTGTAGATGGGGCGAAGACAATGAAATCCTACTGATTAGCTACGTTCCGACACCCACTAAGATGTCTAAAACTTCAACTCCCCCTGAAGCACCCATAAGCTCTATTAGAAAGCAATTCTTTCATTCGATGGTTTAAATAAGTCCCTATTAACATACTCGAATCAGTGCGTTTTGATTGTTTTCTCATTTTCATCATTTCTCCTTTGGCAAACTTTCTGTTGATACATCTTTTAAAGAATTAACGTCAATTTGATGAAGTGAAATTTCTCTGCGAATGCATCTCACTTCACTTCTGTGCCTTCATACAAATAATTCATAATTGGTAAATTTAAAATAGGCTAATTTGTATAAAGTTGATAGTTCTTTGGTAATGGCATGTCTACCTTAACCGTGTCTAATTCAACCAAACTGAAATTAAACGGCCTTTTACGGGACTTGCATACATGCTTATAACTTTAGAAAAACGGATAAATCCACGATAATGAGTTAGGTCAATGAGGATATGGGGGGGTCCCCGAATGAATGCATAGGAGAAACCTTGGTATCTCGCATTGATCTAATATACAGTTGACGCGTCGATACTCCGTTAGTTTCGATGAGGGCAGTGGCTAAGTTAACGATGATTGCTAGTTAGAAGTCAACCAATTTCCATAGTTCGGGAGCATAGAGTTGAGGGTGAAGGGAAAGTTATTGAATGACAGCGATGGAAATGTGATGGGGAGGGAACAACAATGGACAAAGAGGAGGGAGAACAGTGTGAGAAAGTTGAAACAGTTCGGCTCACAGTTGAACAAGTCCTCCTTGTCTAAGGACTCAAGACAACTTCGCATCGCGCTATTACGGGAACGCATTTCTAGGTTTGGTTTTCTCATCGTGTCAACGGAGAGCCTTAAGTCTACAATATCCGACATCCTTAGTGCCGTCGCAGAAGCATCATGACTGAGGGCTAAACCGCAAAAATCTTGTTAGGCACTGTTGTAAGCAATGGATGCAGATGTTTTAAGATGAGATGAGTCTTATTCTCCGAATATTGAGGATTTAGGCACTCAGGCCTATTTTCGATTCGAGGTGGCTTAAATCATGTCGTTTCTGGGACGCGACCAATTTTAAATTTCCTGAACTTGTGTCCACCAACGTCGGTGGACACGTGTGGCCCTCCCTCCTAATCGCTGAATGTCTCGGCTTTTCAACTCTGACTTGATAAACATGCTCGTTGATCGCTAGGTTACGCATTTATTAATAGTGTTCTCTTGCTTATAATGCAAAGAATAGCCTATACCTAATGACGGAATAGCGAAACAACGCTTCTCCTTGTCACTAATATGTAACTTTCACTCCATTAGCGCGACAGGTCACGACATGACGAGGTTGGCTTAACTACAGCCTGCAACATCGAACACGGAAGTCTAGCAAGCATCAATGATGGGCAACCTTTTCTAAAGCTCCATAGGCCTGTTACAATGGTAAAAAATTCTACCCAAATTCAATGTCTAACCATCTGTCTTCTCTCTCGATGGAATCTGAGCTTAACTCAATCTCTTCACACAAATAGGAAAATTATGCTACAGTCAGCGGTAACAATCCATGCTTAATAGCCTTTTTAAAGCTGCTAATGATAACCATCAAGACGCCTGCCATTTGATGTACCTACACACCCAGGATACATCATGCTCAAATGTAAAAATGAATCCCTAACTACAAGACTTCAATTAAAGAGACCCGATTTTACTTATACCCGTTCAACTCTCGTAAAAAATATGCAACAATGATGTATCCCATAGCTTATGCCCCAAGGCAAACTCCTTGAAGATACATCATTAAAAAGAGAGGGATAGAAACATCGTGGAATAAACATTGACACTAGACTCTAACTCCCCCCTTTCATATTTCAAAATTTCATTAATGAAGTGGGCGGAAATCAGCAAAGAATTTAAAATCTGTCCCAGTTCGTATCTTGGAATACGCACTAAACTTGCATTTCAAAGCAAGGATATGGTTCCAGCACCATTGAGCCACCCAGAATTTAAATATTCTTCAGCTTCCAATGTGACCATTTCACCTTTTTTATACTATTCCGATTTTAGTGAGACTTAAAACAAGCTTACTAAAAATTGAAAATATAATTCAAAACAGATCCCAGGAAATGAAAGGAAGTGGACGAGACGAACCATTTACTATAATATCGTGTACAAACGTACGGAAAATACATAAAATGCAGATAATTGAGGTATGATAAGTGAGCTGGTTTTCAACGCTGAAAAGAAAAAAAACGGATTATTAGATATGCTTGTTATAAGCATGCTGTTCAGTAAAAAAGGAGAGCTTCTTGTAACTTGACCGCCAGGAACCGTCAAGAATTAGACCCTTTAACTTTAAACAAAATTTAGTGGACAGTCAATGAACATAGTGATCGTGCATGGTTGATTAGTACCGGGGTTTTCCGAAAATCCGCCCAGGGCGGTTAAACGGAAAATTCCATTTCATAAAACTATTTTTTGGAAAAAGCTGCAAGACTGAATTTTAACTTTTAACCCCAAATAACCACCCATCCGAATAAGCGAATACTTACGTGAAACACAAAAACAATTATTCCCAATAAGTCGTGATATTTCAATTTGAGAACAAAGCGACAGCGGCTAAATTGTACACTAAAAAATTCAACCACCTACTTGAACACCTTCATTAACATGTCAGTCTAAATAGGGATTCGTGAGTCGGAAAGAAAGCAAAGTCAGCATCAGCACTTATTTTGAATGAACATGAAATTGTTACTCGCCCTATAAGTGCTTGTGTTATGTTGGTCTAACCGCGGCTTTTTGATATCCGTCTGGGGGATTTTTGAAGGCGTTACCTGTGGACGCTTTGCATACACAAAACCTCCCACCTGCTGTTTCACCGCGGGTTTTACAGCAGAAACTGTAGACGACATAGACGAAGAAGTATTTCCGCCAAGAACATAAGAAGGATCTAGACTTTTATCAATGATGGCGGCCAGGCAGTTTTCCTTGTCACTCAAAAGAGCATGTCCCTCAAAAGAGACAAGAGAGAAGAGTTCAGTATCTTTGCCTTCGCTTTTTTGGGTCAGAATGGTTTGTAATTGAGCTGTTTGATTAGGAAGATCACGGTGCCTCAATTTACGATCCTCCTTGTCCAGTTTGAGGAGAATTCCACCACGATTTTTAAGTATCATAGGATCCTGGCGTTTGAGCTCGATTGCCTTGATTTGTTGAATGACATCACCCCATACAGTTAGAGCAGAATAGAAATCTTCATGAGATGATTTGAAATGCTTCCACTTGTTGATTTCGTTTTCAAGACGAGTTAGATTTTCCTCTGTGGGCTCCATGGATGTTTTTTCGCGAAATGATTGACGATAGGAAGTGTTTATAGAACAGTCAGTCCAGATGGACTCCAGGTCAATAATACACGCATCCAGTAGGCGACTCAGATTAGCTAATCTCAGCTCACGTAGACGAGAAAGTTCGTTACGACCCTAAAACATTAACAAGAAATCGATAGCATTCAGTTTATCAAAGACCATACACAAATGAACATACCAATTCAATACGTTTTGAAGGACTCATCGTTGATTTTGCAGGAAGCTCAAATGAGGGCAAATCCAGACGTCTACTAAGTAACTCAATTTCAGCAAAAATACTTTCCTCTTCGCTTTTAAGCTTTTCGTAAAGATACGAATATTGATCCATTAACTGATCTACGTTGCATAGAATGGCATCCGATAGCACTTCCGGTTCAGCATCAGCTTGAATTACTTCTCTAACAGGCCCCGAGCAATCAATAGTATTGTCCGATTTAAGATAATCAATAAAAGAGAGGATGCGTTGTTTCATAGATGCCAAATTAGTTAAGCGTGTTGACTAAATAAAGGAAAATAAATGCTTGAAAAAGCCTACTCTTAGCTCCTTTAATTCATCGATATGGCATTGTACGCGCAATTTATCGTTAGTTTTTGGAATCAAAGGAAAACTTTCCAGAGGGGGTACGGCAAGATACCGGCACAGATCTTCTTCTTGAGATTTGAGCTTTTTGAATTCAGCTGTGAGCTCAGAAACTTTCTTTTCTAATTCCTCTCGATATGACTTTAAATCCTCCAAAGTGGATAGCAATGGATTGAAGACTGGAAAAGGACGATGATTTATGGTCAGTTCGTCTTCAATTTGTTCAATTTCACTCTAAGGTATGCAAATATAACCAAGAAGCATGCCTAACCCTCATTTCACTTATTTTTTGTTCCAACTCCGATTTTTCATCCTTCGCAATTGAGAAGACACTTTGTAAGTACGCCAAAACGCCACCAAGAGTTGAATTCTGATTTTCAGCAAGGCGCGAACTAGGCAACCCTATCTGGAACCATACTTTTTCTATATCAGTTAAAATATGATTTATTTGGGATGTCGATTCATCAACCCAACTTTTTTTGCATTCCATCGCGTAATATTGCAGAAAAAATCAGTAAAGTATCATAAATTAAGTAACACAGCAAGAAGCTTTGTACCATTGATACAGATAAAGAAAAGTCTAACCCTTAAATAAGTCATGTAAGTATTATACAGTATGAAGAATTTTTGTCATTTCGGCTTTCATATTAGTTAAAATTCCTTGTAAGTCCTTAAATTTTACAGGGATATTTGTGTTAATAATGCTTATAGTTCCAGGTTGCCAAATCAATATATTTCAGAGTTATGTCATAATATGCAAAGGCTAAACATATCAACAAATGAAAAAACTATCCATATTATGAAAAGCATTTTCTGATTGGCAAAGGCGTTTTAAAATGGTCGATTTCGATCTATCTCTTAGAATGCAGCTACTATTACTACTAGCGCTTTCCAATATCAATATTAATAATATCCATGAGCTCCAAACTGACTGGTTAATTTAATATAGTGCTACTGGGAAAAGAGTCTATTTTAGTTTTAATCAATTCTCAGAATTGATTAAATCCTCCAGTTGGAAGAATGTAGTAAAAAAAGGAAAAATTGTCGCTATAATTTAGTGTAATCCATTTCTTACATTTCATCAATATATATTTTTTGGACAATTACATCATTATATGATAATTTATATATTTTTCACGTGGTTTTCTAATGCATATAATCTTTCCATTATGCTAATATTCCTTAAATTTAGATCTGTTTTTTGCTTCCTGTGACCTATCTTGTCCAAAACCCTTTTATGCCAAATTTACCAAAAAGATAGGCCATTGTGCCGGTATTGTACTAAGTCCTATTTTAGTAAAAGTGAGATAGAGAGACACAGTAAAACTTCATTCTATCTCTCTAATACTTCAACACATTAAACTTAGAGCTACTTTTTAATTTTGTGAAATTTTCATATCACCATTAGAGACATGTGCTAAGTACTAAATTCTGACTTATTATACTTTCCCTGTTATTTTGTCCAAGGATTATAGTGGATTGCTATTCAGAAAAGTCTTGAGTTATCCTCAATAATCTTTATGGTAAGATCCTCAAGTATTGGAAGGCTCTCTGTATTGGCTAGGCTACCACAAAAATATAAAGGAAACGGACGTATTTCATGGTGTATGTTTACTTGGTTTGTGTATATGCTGGATTGTGACCCTGATGACAAGGAGATTGATCATTGAATTCTGCTTTGGGCGCACTGACCCCATAATGAATGTTACTAATTGATTGGCTAAAGGTCACTTTACTCTTGATATCATTCGCTCCATAACACGATTAGCACCACGATCACACGTTGAAGAATGTTCTAATGCGAGCTGGATTCTTCGGTGTTCATTTTTAAATGCACGAATTCATATACCTTTTCTATATTTGCTTTAACGTCACTCATATTTCCACTAATTGCATGCGTTTGGAAAGAAATACTGAAAGAAAGCTGTTCCTGTTAACTTTACATTGGATAAAGAGATGGGGGGGGAGTTGGAATTTACGTGTTTCTTATTTAAGGAAAAAGTTCTATTAATTTCTAGAATAATCCCGAATTCGCTATTGAGATTAATCCTGTATTATTGGGTAGTTAGTAGATAAAACTGCAGCTGCTTGTGGAATGTCCTACACTAGCAAGAGTGATCAAAGGAATGCCATAGGAGTTTAAACAAACTGGAAGTTGTGGCCAGGGTACTGATAACTCATCGAGCGAGTGTAGAGACCTCTCAGCCAACCACCGATCAATTGGCGTTGTAACATAATTTGTCACTAATAGTATTTAGATGACAATAATTTGTGGTCGTCGATGAGTATTAGAAAACTCTTTTCTCTCTCTCTCACTCTCCCTCCCTATTCTGTATTCTCGATACTTTAAACAATGAATGACTAATATTGGGATCAATCTTGTACTAGGGAATTTTGCTAGAAGGAAATGTTGGGATTTAGTCAAGGCTTCCTTATGTAGCATTTCTCCCATATTAGAAAATGAAACACTGATAAGTTTCATTTTATGATGACCTAGTTTATTAGGAATAAGCAGTATCGCCATAACCACAAAGGGGGTGGGTGGAGAGGCAGTGGGTACCGAGAGCTTCGTTCACGTAAACTGAATAGCATTGAAAAACAAAATATCGGCTTTTAAATAAAAGAATTAGTGATTCATTTAATGGGCAATGATAGGTATCACTGGAAATCTCAAGGATGCTAATTTCCATTGATGGTGTCTTTTCTAGGTCTGAGAATTAACGCTATACGCAGTGTCCGCTAAAGAGGCTACAGCAACTGATTTATTCACAGGTGCAAGCTGGGGGTTACAGTTATTGCCCTTTAGCAAATTAAGTAATTTTCTTAGTCGTAAATTAGATAAAGGAATTGCTCTAAACACATTCTCAAAATGATTTACAAACACTCTGCGTCCGACCACGTGACGGGCTCATTTTGAGGCAAGAGGGTTTACTTACGATTGGGTTTCACTCTGTCTATCCAGGCATTTATAATGGTCACAATATGCTACAATATTACCTAGTCAGGATGTAATCCTTTTTAGAACTTCTGTGAGAAGTCCTCAGTACGTTACAAGCTCCCTCTTTTAGAATGATAGGAAATACTGAAAATGCTTAAATAAGAAGCATTGAAATTGATAACAATTGTCCTTGGTGAAGCAGAAGACTATCATGATACTAACCCATCTAAGTTTCATGGAACTAAACAAGAATTCAAATTAAAATAAGACAGAAGAAAGGAAAGATGTGTTAATAGTATGGACTCCAAAAGTAGATTGCAACTTTCAGCTTTAAATGGAGTCTATTCAATCATAATTGAGCCATGGTATTCAACGTAGTGAGCCATTTGTCAGAAAACAGTTGATACAAGTACGGTTTGTTGGGGGAGTTTTAGTTTCCTTGTAGAATGACTTGCTCCAACTTCTTTATCGACTATTCCCCTCCTCTGCAGGAAAATGCCACAACTTTAGAATGAGTGTTTGGCCTTTGTATGGGAAAACAAGTTTGCAAATGATGTTAAAGAATGCTAGCAGGTAATTAATACTCCAAAGGTCAATGACGATTACTAAGAGATGCTGTTTTGCATCCTCATTTGAAGAGGATTGCGATATCTGAATTCATCAAGTGCTCTGAATACCTGTATATTAGGTAAAGTTCACTGATTTATACTATTTTTAATGTCAATCGTTTTCGGAACAGTTTTTGATATCAACCAAGAACCGGGAATTAAAATCAGACACGAGTTTTTAAAGATAGCTTTAATGCGTTAAATTTGGCTTTTATTTTACCCAAAATTAGCCATTAAATCTTCCGTATGCTCTATTTTGCAAATTTCAATGCCTTTTTGTAGGTCAGGACTTTCTTTAGTTTGATTTTCTCGAACCCATCAGGGAAAATTTGACCTGGGAAGAGTGAACTTCATCTGCTGCGGATCTGCTGAGAAATTTGCATTCTTTTTTCCACAATATCGGCCAGAATTAATTTGTGTGATCGAATGCTTCACCAATATACATTGATCTTGGGACCCCTGCTTAGATGAAATACTGAACTAACAATACAGCAACTTGTCCAACGTCTTTTAGCACATACAAATAAAATAAATAGAGCGGGCCATTTAAGATCTTTTCTAAAAAAGGATCAAGAGTAATTACATAGATTAAATCTAATGGTATTGAAATCACGGCTTCCTCTATGACAAAACCAAGATGAATGAGCACATGCATAGATTTGTACATGCTCCACTAAATTCCGTAGATTATCATCCCACAGAGTCAGAGGAATTAAGCATTGAGGGCTCTCAGTCAACTGTTAACCTGGAATTTAGATTGAATTCATTATTATAACTCTTACTATTATTATATCAAATGGCAGATTTTATGATATTTAACATTAGCCCCTTAGTTGGCTTCGGTCTTCACAAGGAGGGAAGCGGAATATATATACAGGCTTCAGGTGAGTTAACGGTAGTACATTAGTTGACTTCTAGCTTCCCAGTATCTTTGGATTTCTCTCGTTGTCTTTAGGGCTGGACACCGAATCAGGTGGGTCTTCTCCATTTCCTCTTGTAGGTTACATAGGGGGGGGGGGCTTGCTAGTTGAGTGTATACTCCCAATCTGTGAAGGTGTTTTGCCAGGCAATCGTGTCCGGTACGTAGTCTAAACTCAGCAACGACTTCGATTCTTGGCCAGTCGGCTATGTCGGAGAGTGCCACTCTCCACTGTTTCTCCTTTGTTCGAGCTTTAAGTTCGTTGCACCTTGAGGTCTTGAATTCTCTCCTGATTAGGGTCTTCATTGTGTGGAAAGACATCCGCCGGTCTATGCCTTGTAAAATTGTAGTCCCCTTCTTAGCCTATAATGCCATAGTGTCCAGGGATCAATTGAAGAGCTACTCTTTTGTTTATTCTCTCACTAACTGATACTGTTTTTACATTTGTATATCTCGGCTGTTTTGGGTGGCTCACTGTTTCCAGTTGAACTTATTTCTGGCTGTGAGTCCGAAAAGGTTACTGCTTTGGTGAATTTCATATCCAGGCAGCATCAATGGCCTATTGATGGTCTCTATTTCTCCTTCGAACGAGGATCTATTTTTCCCGCTGCTGCTGTTCAGAGTAAACACCTGCACCAACGTTTGCTTGGTTTTCTACGTATGACTCGTCAGCGAAGACCTGGAGCCATTGATCTGCAGGATATTTTACATTGATTGTCCAAGGCTAATTAGTGCATTAGATCTGGAGAGGTAACTACTTTTCTGAAATGGTCAAGAAGTTGGATGCAAATTTTCACTTAATTAACTTAATAATATGTCGACATAAAATACTATCTTTTGAACTTACTTTTAATAAAGTTTCTATATTCTAAATTGCATACTTATTTTTTCCAACTGGGTGTTTCCATTTGTTTATACCCAACGGAAAGAAAACGAAAATTGTTGTAGCATATTGGAGGAAATCCGCACAATTGAAACCTGTAAAAAAAAAGAATTTAGAAGTTAAAAGCCAAATTTTTAAATACTCTTGAAATTACTAACTTTCATGTCTTTAGCTGATTAAAGTGCGGATGAAAGAATTGAACGAACGCTTGTGGGACACGTTTCGCTGTGTGCGTCATCGTATGCCTGCATGTCTGCTCGCCAGGATTGGGAGGTGCGCCGTACAACTCTGTGTGCAGCGACTGTACAAACAGTGACCAATCATCAACCTCTGTTTAACCTAATCCCCCATCCTGATCATGAGTAGCTCCCTGCGTGTACACTTGATCCGCAATACACGTCCTGAATAAACGTGCTCCGTGCTACACGTCTGTTTCCCTCATAGCTGGGCTATAGCTTATCTGGTTCTGGGAGTCTAGCTAGATGTTGGAGGTTCTGCCATAGCGATTTCTGAGCCAGTCAGGCTTTAATAAAGTAGCAATCCGCTACACGCTATGCATGAAATGCAAATTACAAGTTTAATTTATTATTATATTGGATTCCAATAGAAGTATATATGACTTTGATTTAATTGAGCTATTAAGGCCAAAAACACCCAGCAATGTCAAGTTCTTACCTAAAGAAAATTCGAACAAAAATGGCAATATATGAAGCTGCCAATAGGGAAGAAGTGATCGCTATTCCCCCAAGAACAAGAATAGAAGAGGAATTTCGTATTGTTAAAGATGATGGGAAATATTTTGGGAATAGTGTAGAAAAAGAGTTTGAGTTTCTACTTTCTGTAATCAAACTGAAAGAAATAAGTCGGTGTTTTTTAAGGCAAGGGCAACAGAAATGGAGAAAAGTGTTGGGAAATCGTAGCAGTTCCGTAAGTCAGATTTAATTTCATTGTTGAGCCTGTTTTGAAGTTCCTGACTGATTCTTTATGATTCAAGCATGAACTACCTGAAGAACCTTCACGTATTTTTTACATTTGAAAAGCTCACGTGATCTGATTCAATTATTAAAGTGAATGGAAGTTTTTCCCCTGCTCTTTATGCCTAATCATCTACTAGGAACGATTAATAAAATTGTTAAAATAAATGGAATAATAGCACAAACTAATTGGTTTATAATTCGATCACCCAGGTGAAACCAAGGAATTGTGATTGGTCAGTTTCAGGTACCAATCGTCGTGTATAACTGTTCTTACCTGTCATCATTTTGAAATTTCACCCAGTAACAGTAAATGCACTATCACTGTGCTGAAGCCGTCCTTAGAAAATTATGTACTCCAGAAGAAATTTCACTGTTTCTTTTCTAATTCTCGTCTGCCTCATCATATCCCGTCTTTCAGCCATTGAATCTGACTGGGGTACATTCTGCCAAATTGAAGAAAAGGAGAGAGCTATATGCTACTTAAATTGCTTTGAGGATATTTTCCATCTTCCTTTCAAAAATTTGGATCTCCTTTTGATATCAGGTCTTGTTGTTTTTCAGAATTCTGATAAATGCGACAGAAATTTGGGAGTAGAGACTTTTGAACAATTCAAAAATTTGAAAGAATTTTATTACACTGGTGCCATCTGTCCGTTTTCCAAACTTCCAAATATCTCAAATTTGAATCGAATGCAAATTCAGATCGATATGAAAGGTAAGGTACCTTCAGAATTAGGCACCTATGAAACTACCAATCAAACAATTCTTCCGAATATTAAAAAATTGGCAATTAGTAGAATATGCTGTGATCTATTTGGAAGAAACTTCATAGCTCCCCAATTAGAAGATTTGAAATTTCACTGCTTGAGAAAGCGCGCCTTCATTACAGGAGTTGAAAGAAGTTATGGTGATCTCCTTCATTTCACAGCTCCACGTTTGAAAAGACTAGATTTTATTGAAGATGGTTTGGGATTTCCTGTATCCTACGTCGGGAATCTACCAGAACTTAATTTTCTTTCCATCATAAAAAACAGCAAGCTCTCTAAAATTCCTCCGCCCGAACCTATTTCCAATCATTTGAATCTATCATCCTTGAGGGAAATAATATACAGTGATCCAAATGAACCTAACCTTCTACAATGTCTTGAGCTTGGTGATGTCAATCTAACCCGGATATATTTTGCTTACCCTATTCCAACTTGTTCCTCGGCTTGGAGGTGTCCATCGTGTCATCCGAATGGCACAAACGACAGCCAAAATGTTACCATAGTTGCAAAATCAAAAATAAATACTAAAATGAGTCACTTTTTGCCAAACATCACACTGAATACAACAAGCCTAGTCTTCGAGCACAGTCCTCTTCTTATCATTGACTCCGAAGCAATGAGCCGTTTTTCCCATCTAAGAATATTTCAAGTCAAAACAACAGAATCGGAAAATGGAAAGGCAATTCTACTTGGCAATCCATTCAAGACCCTTCAGCGGCCAATGGAGCTGCAATTTCTTCGGTTATCTCTACTGGAATGCGACTGCCTAGAATACAGTAGTCTTTCATGGTTGAAAACACAGAATGCCCTAATTGAGGGTGAAATAGAGTGCCCAAGATTGGAGACTAACAAGTGGTTTAAAATTGCAGATTTCTTGAACGCAATGACAAACAGCTGCAGTTATATTACGTCTGAAGATATTCTGTCCGATTTAAACCTTCAGAGAATAGCGAGACTGAAAGTCAACGATTCAGGTAATCTTGCTCGACCCTCTCTTATTATGGGCCTAATTTATTTCCTATTCAAATTATTTTAGATACTTGATACAAACTCATCCCTTTATGTTACTTCATTTTTGGCCCATGTGTTCAGGTGTTTGCCGGAGATGGAAAGGTGTATTGATTGCATTTACATACACACACACTTTTTAATTCATAATAAAATGAATAATTGTTACATTATTGGAAATTATTATTTCAAATGGCAGGCGTTTTGAATATTTATCATTAGCCATTTAGCTGACTTTGGGCTTCGCAGAGGGAGGAAAATCAAAGCGAGAACAATTCGGGAGGGGGAACAGAAGAGTAATTCTCAGATGTAGAGGAGACAGGCAGACACAAAGGCAGAGAAAAGGTGAGATGAGTATTGTTTAAGTGGTCTAATATGACATACAGTGGGGTGATGGTAGTTTGAAGTCAGAAGTCAGCTGCCGGTTAATAGACGTTTTTGCCGTATGAGTATACGTTGCCCAGGGTGCACCACGTAGAGATTTGATTTCACTGACAAGTTGCACCCTCTTTATTTGTTAATATTGGAAGAAAATGAAATTTTGAACTGAAAAGAGAATTTAAATCTCAGCAACACGTTAATAGAGTGTGAAAGAGAGAATAAATGTGAAATTGTTGAAAAAGATTTCTGATTTAATTGAGTCGTTCGATTTGTATCAAATTTATTTATTTATATTAAATGGCGGGCGTTTGATGGTTATCATTAGCCCTTTAGTTGACTTCGGGCTTCACAGAAAGGAAGGAACATCGAAGGGTAAAAATTCGAGAGGGGGAGGGAAGAGAAGAGTTTTTCAAAGATGAAAAGGAGACAGACACAAAGGTAGAAAAAGGTGATGTGAGTATTGTGGAAGTAGTCAAATATGACATTTAGTGGGTAATGATAATTTGAAGTGAGAAGTCAACTGCCGGTTGATAGACTTTTTTGCCGTATTAGAATACGTTGCCTAGGGTGCACCACATGGAGGTATGTCTATCTATCAAATTTGAATCAAGACACTTTCAATTGATCCCTAAACACTAACAATATTCAGAACTTGTCGGTGAGAAGGCCGAACTGAAAGAAAGGCCATTTCTACGCACTTATAGAGTTATGATGGTCACAAATGGATCCTTTTGTTGATCAGCAAAATTTATTATTTCATAGAAGTGGATTCTTTTTATATTTGCCATTTAAAGATTCCTATATATCTCCTTTTAATTTTCCTTTGGTTTTTTGATAACATATTTCAGGTGGGGAAAAAAACAAAAAATATTGCTTGGAAAAAATGTTAAAAAATATTTTCGATAGACTTTATGAAAAAATTCCCGGAAATGGGAATGCTATTCACGCCCTATTTATTCTTACATGAAGTTTACGAATTACAGCCTAGTCCTTTACTGCTCTACAGAACAAGTAACGTGAGTGAAAACGGCCCTAAACTTTATACTGATTCTAAAAGAAACATTTTGTAAGTCTTTATTATAATTGAAAATCATAATTTAATCTGAGGTTAGGGTCGAATTCTTGCACTTAATAGCGGTATTAGTAGCAAGAGAGAATTGAAATAGGAGATGTCTTAAGGGTTTGAGTTTCGATTTGAACGTGCCTTTTTTCTCTAGATCTCTTAATGTGGTTGGATATTGGTGGTCATTTCAGTACTTGCAGCTTTCTTTGGAAGGCTATTAAAAAATATTTGAACTTGACGCAGTTTTCACTTGAGGGAGTTTTAAGTCGTTTGCATAGGTTCTCTTTGAATCGTTTCACTTGAAATATTAGACGTTGGAATCACCAGTACCTTTGCGTTAACAGAACTCTAAGCTAGACTTAATGTTAATACTGATATCAAATTCACATTTTCCGACCATGAAATGATGTCAATGTGAGGTGTGCGATAGACTTACCTCCACTTGGTGCACCCTGGATAACGTATACTCATACGGCAAAAAGTCTATTAACCGGCAGTTGACTTCTGACTTCTAACTACCACCACCCCACTGTATGTCATATTCGACTACTTCCACATTACTCACCTCACCTTTTTTCTATCTTTGTGTTTGTCTCTTTTCCATTTTTGAAACACTCTTCTGTTCCCCTTTCTCGACTTTTTTCACTTTGATTTTCCCTTCCCTCTGTGAAGCCAGAAGTCAACTAAAGGGCTAACTATAACTATCAAAACGCCTGCCATTTTATATAACTAAATGATGTCAATGTTATATTAGTGGTAATTCAAGTCTCACTGCGGGGATAATATCTATCTAGTCACGCAATTTTTACATGTTAATCGGAGTCGTTCATGTTCGCATACTGGGTGTGGGTTAGAAATAACATAGTTCAATTATGTAAGGAAACGAAACGATGTAGAAAAATATTTCGAATTCTACTGGAAATATAAGTTGGAATATTATGTAATTTCTTGATGCCTTTACATTTGCAAATGAAAGATGTGGTTTGGAAGTGGCTCACTGGAATTTTTCGACCAATAAAGAATAGCGGGAAATTGCGGATACTTTAATCGTAATTACTCAAGCCACAAATTTTTCAGAATTTTGATTGTTAAACGATTAAAATAGCATAGACCTAAGGGTTCGATCTCTTCTTACCTCTCATTTCATAATTTAAGACAATTTTAATTTGAGTGAGTTAACAAATATACGTTGGAAATAGTAGCTTACAGAAACCTCTTTGAAGTTTGTACTAAATAGGAATACTTTAGAGATCTAATTTGACACAACTCATCGCAATCACATCACTGATTAAATTCAGGTAGAAACAACACCATTTACGCAGTCATAGTAAATGTCAAGGTGTGTCGCAGTTAAAACAGCTAACACATCGATTTCACTCCACAAAAGACGAAATCACCTCATCGATCAGCAATCAGGAAGGTCTGAATCTTTCACATTTACGTAATTGCTGGAAGGAAAGCAAGCAATGCCCTCGCATTATTGGTTAGCCAATTGTTCCTTAGGCCCAAAGATTAACAGAGAAATAGTATATCGTTTGCTGTAAATCTTAGAGGTCTGTGATAAGATATACCCCTGATCGGGATGTCAACCTCGATGCCCAACATTATTTTCAATAAGAATCCCATCTTAGAAGCCTTGCAAAAGAGCTGAGAATAATGAGAATAATGCTGATAAGTGATGGTGCAAAATTTCACGCTTCAAGTTCAAAATAGCCATACACATCCCCAAATTATATTCTTACAGCTATATTGTGCATGTGTCTAGTTGATGCCAAAATTTTTAATTAAATGCCTTAAATTTCAGCTTACAACTATGTTCTAATCTGGTCATTTAAACTGCTGTTGACTGAATTGTGTCTCCCAATGAAGGTCCTCTGGTGTTTAACTGTTCCGGAGCGCGTGAACGAAAGTGCATACTACGAAGGTCACAATCACTCATTCGAGTTTTAAAATTGCAAAAAATCAACTTTAGCGCGTGACGAATGATCAAAGAAATAATTGTCGAGAACTTTCAAAGACTTTCAAGTCCTAAGGTTCCAAAATTGATTCCAAAGTAATTAACCACACTATTGAAAAATGTTTCTGTAAAATTGAAATATAAAAAAGTGTAAAGACAGTTCTCTGTATTTTCAATAGTACAATACAAATTCAAAGCTTCATAATTGTGTGCCACAAATATAATCGAATAATTTATTTATTTATTTCAAAGGGCAGGCATTTTGATAGTTATCATTACCCCTTCAGTTGACTTCGGGTTTCACAGAAGGGAGGAACATTAAAGTGAGAAAAATTCGACAGGGGAAAAGAAGAGCGATTCAGAGATGTAAAAGACAGACAGACACAAAGTTAGAGAAAAGGTTAGATGAGTACTGTGGAAGGGGTCGAATATGACATAGAGTGGGGTCATGGTAGTTTGAAGTCAGATGTCAACCACCAGTTAATAGACTTTTTTGCCGTATGAGTATACGTTGCCCAGGGTGCACCACGTGGAGGTAAGTCTATCGCATGTCTAGCGTATGTTTACCACCTTTTCAATCAGGAAGGTTCGATCTCGCTGCTGGTATTGAAAACTTGTCAGAGAGGAAGTATACGTAGATTGCACAGCGCTCCCAAAACTGAACAGGAAAATTGTATGCGCCCTTGAACAGCTTAGAGGTTGTGACTGTGCTGCTGATTGAGTAGCAAGGAAAATGGGTCTGTGAGCCAACCAGCATTCAATAGTCCCTTTAATTGTAATTTATCGAGATTAAGCTTTGTTCCAGTGACAAATCATCTGTACTCAATATCGTTGAGTCAGGCAATTTTTTTCTTGAGGATTTGTTTTAGAGAAGATTTTTCATTTTAGTCGGTGTTTATTTTTTCAGTATCCTCTACAGTTATTCGCAAACTCAGAAATATTGATTTCAAATTTGATGCTATGTCTGATTTACTTACTGAATACGTTCGAAAATCTGATTTTATAGGGAACACTTCAAAAGACCAGCATTTAACAGTGATCTACTTAAACACATTTCGAATTAAAATATATCTGCTTCATTGCCTAATTTAACTCTACTGCCTGAAAATTGAACAACTTTTTTAACTTCTTTGCAGGATAAGAATTTGGCTAGAAGTGGAATTTCTGTGTTGCAAAGCACTTTATTTCTAACTGCAAAAGTTTTCGAAAATTTGAAATGCAAAATAACAGAGAAATTCTCAAAAAACATTGATTTTAAAATTTAGTCATTTGGATAGGAACAAAAAAGTCAGAAAAGTGATTTTATTTCATTTAGTCTGCAAAGATTTCAGTTGAATCAAGTATGCAATAAGGGGGCAATATTACTTCGCGTTGCGCTTGCAAGTTTTGTCTAAAGTTTAATAATAACCATTCTGAACGAATTTAAAACAATACAACTTTCCAATTTATTTCAATCAAGTTCAGTGGTTCTCCTATGCCTTTGTAATGAAGAGGAGCAAAGTTAGCTTGGGAATTTTGCTTTAGCAACAATTTGGATCTTGATCAGAAGAACAGGAAGAAAGTGGTCAATCGAGTGTAAAGAAGTTCTCCAGACATGTGCATATTGAAGTGTCTGTTAATACCTACT